TCTTCAGCCGCCGATGGCATCAGTGAATAATACAGTCGAAAGTCTTGACCCCTTTGGTGTTTGGGATGGCGGTGTTGATATGTTCTCCTTACCTGGCTATGGTACTACTACCAGCTTTGATTTCCCTGAATGTGTGTTCCCACAACACACTGTAGACAATCGCTTATCTATTTTCTAATATGGTGTATAACCTTATTATGGAAGGCTGCTGCTGAGCATCTGTCATTTCCCATGAGTTACTCTCCTCCTCTTCTGCGGACTATTACTACTATTGCCCGATAATGGTTATGATGATGTAAGCGGTTGCAGAGACAGTGGTTAAAGACCCTGTTTGTCGTTGAGTCTACTACCAAGGCGGCTACTATCCCTTCTGACCTCTAGCGTATGGAAACTGTATAACTTTGCTGCTTGCCAGTGTTATGTCTCTATCTGCTGCTAGTCGTCAGCATATCGGGTTTGCATGCTGCTGCTCTCGTTGTTAGCATTCATCGCAGTGCTAGCCACGATGTCCCCACTTTTATTGTAAAATTAAAAGCACAAATTGTTCTCAGCAGCCTTTTGCTGGTCGTAGTCCGGTGCTCCTCTATTGCTGATAGCATTTGTTATTCCTTAGGGAAGAGTTTACTGCTTTTGGTGTAGATGATCACCTCGATTCGTCGGAATGTGTTTTATCATCATAATAATATTTTGGGATTCCTTAGCGAAGGAGTCCTCGAAATTTCTATTACTTCTCACTATTGATAATGAGATGATCAAAATCATTGACAACCTCAGTAGTCTTCAATGTTCTCGTACTATTTCAAGTGCTTGCTGCGGAGGCGAGGGTTGTCATTGTTGTTCTATTTATCTAGTTACTGTACCTTATGATGATGGCGATGCCTCTCCAATGCATGGAGGCGGTCGTATTCTCATCTGTTTATATTATCTGAAGCCTTGTTCCCCGAGTAATTTTCTGCGATTGCTTTCGTGAAATGGGTTCGATTTTTTCATTGTGTAGAGTATGTTGGTGGTGGGGAATTGCTGTTGAGTTGTCACCTACAGGGGGTTTATGCTTATCGTAGCTTTTTGACTTGTCTCATTCACTTTAACAAGGTTCGCCTTAGGCAGCCTCCGAGACCGAGATGGACTGGTTCATGTTGCCATTCTCAACACTTGGGGTTGTCCAGGTCATGGAGAGCCTTCTGCCTCTCACGGGTTGCGGAGCTTGCATGATGCTTTGTGCGCATTCACTTTCGTAGGAATATGGGAGGGTGGAATCTGTCACTATAACAGTGTAGTGATCTCGCATCAGATACATTTTCTGTCCCCAGTATTCAATGTGGAGAATGATGCGCAATATGGCGGAGACCTGCGTCTGTGCTGGTCTCGGGGCATCGGGCATCGTTGCTGAGGTTTGGTGAGCTCCTCAGCGGATGGATCGGTGATGTGATCGACGCGATGTCAGCCCTCGTGATTCACCAGCACACAAGAGACTTCGAACCGTAGCACCTTTCATGACGTCCTTGCTCGGCCGTGCTCTCGTCTATATAGTGAGCTGGAGTGAATTCGGTTACTGGTTGGCGAATTTTCAACAGATTTTCGGTATGATATGCAGCGGTAATTTCACCTATGTGTCAACGACTACTCCCAAAATGGAACCAGCGAGCCGCCTGCTTGGAGAAATCAGCAATGACGCCTCCATAAGAGTCAATTCAGCGTACTGCTATTCACACGTCGAAGAAAGCGATGCTGATCGTGCTCAGTTTCTGGGCATTCTTTTGCGTCGTTTCTGGGATATACATGATGGCCACAGGTGTCATCACTTTAATATATTATTTTAAGGTGGCCCGCTTCAGTCATCATCATCTGTGACTTAACTTCACACAGGTTAATGGATCTATTGTTCAGAGTGAGCGTCATCAGGAGCTCACAACGACCTTCTTGCGGAGGACGAGTTGGGGTGTAGGAATGTGTCATGGGTGCTCATGTACTCTGGTCTTACTCAGTTTGGTGCCGACCGCGAGGCCAGTGGTGGCCAGTCGGTCGCATTCTCCCCGTTCACACCAACAACAGGCGTCACGGCTGAAGGCTATCAACAGCAATAGTGGCTTCTGATGCTGCTTATGCAAATTCTGTCGCAGTTGTTCACTCGTTATGCTGGTTTATGAAGTTTGTTGAGTTATCATAAAACCCAATACCAACAATTAGGGAGAAACCGCAACGCAATCGATAGTAATACGGACACTACACGACGAGCTCATTTGCTGTGCTGATTTGGTGAGGACGATCTCCCTTTGAGATGATTCCTCAACTCTATTGATCATGAGTCGAACATTCACCGCATGGGACCACGTCAGACCGAGCGCTGGTTTGAAAGCATCGCTCTGGTTCGAATCGAAATCAGCGGTAACATGATTGCTGACTACGACAGCGGCACGTTGAACCCAAGCGGCTCCTTTGAGAGCAACTGCCAATCTGTTGAGTAAACTCTGGCGTTCGGCGAGGACGGCAGCGTCGGACCCCTCAGATTTGTCGCCCTGCATACGGGACAGGATGATGTCTTCAGTGCATCGAGCGGCTGCGGCGACACTATCGATGACAACTAGACACGGAACCCCTTCGCAAGTTGGAATTGTCTTCAACGCCTCAACGCCTCGTATCAAGTCCAATAGATCGTCGCACTCTTTGATCGCCATTCTTGACAGCATGCCCTCAATGGGAGCGTGAGGTGACCTGCGTTCACATAGAGATTGGAAGCGCTCGGGATGAAGTGTTCTCTCGCTGTCGAACCAGAAGACTCGACCTTCGCCAGCTAAGACTGCCACGGCAATAGACATCAAAACTTGTGTTTTACCGGAGCCTGAAGATACCCCTATTGCTCACAGCGAAGAATTGAACTCACCTGCAGGGCCATAGAGCTCCACAAGCTGAGCCACCGGCAACCCTCCTCGTAAGAACGCATCTAATGAGGGCATTCCCGTAGAGACATATTGGCGTTGGAGATGGCCGTAATCACGAGCCGACATCTGTGCGGGAGCCAGAGACTGTAATACAGCTAATCAGTTCATACGCATCGTCGGAGTTTCCAATACCTTGCTGATTGAGAGGAGCCACTTTTCGGAAGTCGAGCGGGACACGCTACACTCGTCACTGAGACCGTGGGGCTCACGGCTGATAATCGTCGAGGTGGACAATGCAGGCCATCTCGAGTGCTTCGAGGGCTCGACGTTGGACTGACATGGTGACACGGTACAATTACAGCAAGACAATTACAGCAAGGATTACTTCAGAAGGATGCAATGATTGACGTTTGCTCCTGTCTCTCCGTGAGCCATGCATCCTATTTTTTAACAGCTAAGGTTTGGAATACGTTACAAGAGTAAACTAGGTAATCGGTTACTCGCCCTCATGCCTTACTCATGACGACTCAACAACAAGCGTGTAGAATAAGACTTCCAAGGATGCGTATAACCACGACGAAGAACGAAAAGCTGTGACTTCCTTCAAGCGTAAACTCGCCGATGTCTAACAATTTCAAATGATGCAGCCTCCTTTAACATAAGCAGCATATTGCGAGGCTTCTGCAGTGCACATCACGGACATCGGGGCCGTTTGTTGTTGAATTCTGCTTCCTAGGCAACTCCGTAAGCGTCGGCTAAATGCCTCACACCGGGCACATTAGCTCTGTCCTGGCCCGTAGCTTCAACGTCGGTGCGGGAAGGTCCAGTCGTCCAAGACGTTCGAAGATTCGTCAACATGTGTCATCGTCGTTGCACTGGAGGCGTCACTGGACATGTACGCGAGAACACCGTATTCACTGTTCACAACAACCGGCCGAGGCAGAGTAGTAACGGGGCTCGACCTTCTCCCCAGCTGCTAACATAGCCTTCACAAGTCGGAAACCTATAGGAACTGTACATACTACCGTAAGTAAGCACGATAAAACTGCGAGGCTGCTCAGTGGAGCTCCATAGGAGAAGTGGAGCCAATGTTCGTCATTTGAGCGAGCTCCCAAAGGAACTGATATGCCCCGCACTCCGTCCCTGACCGATCTAACGCAGCTCTCAAAAATTGTCAGACGAAATTATCGACAATTACCACAAGTAGCAATGCTGAACAGTCGAGGGAGATATAAATATCTTTACTTCAGGAGATCAGCGAACATCTCATCATCATCAGAGTTCTAAAGACAACACACCACTGCTATCGCCGTACAAAGGTTCGTCCTTGCTCAGTAGAGGTGCATTACCTCAGCGGCCTGCGTCTGCTGTTGTTGTGGCGACTTTCTGCCCTCAGAGGTCCTCTCACGTGGTGGTGGAGGAGGCGGCGGTGGCACAACCTTCTTCTCCTCAACTGGTGGTAATGGAGGCTTCTCTGCTCCATCATCAGCACCCTTCTCAGTAGTCGAAGGAGGTACAATCGGAGGTTCACCCACGCTAGGCGCAGGTTCAATTCCCGGTTCCTCCATCTTTGCCGGAGACCCAACATCCTCCGTATGTTCCTCCGACAGTGGAGGTTGGACTGAAGATACCCTCACTCAACCTAGCCTCCCAAGTGATAACACTACCTTGCGGGCTGCTGCCGCCCTCGCTCGACTTGGGCGTAGCTATACTCATCACAGGAGCAGCCGCAGTGATATCCTCCGACATCCCTCTGTGTATTCTCTCCATCGCCTCCAGCTTGTGCGGTTCCGCAGCATCCTTACAAGCGGCGTAAAGATCAGACACGCGCTGCCACCACAACAACACTACTATTCGATTCAAGCTGCGAGTAGTCCTACCTCCAATGCAGCCACCGCGTCAGGCTTGCCTCCTATATACTCCCCGTATTGACGTCCAAACCTAACAGGCAGCCCATCCTCGAGGTTCCCAGCGCCCCCCCCCCCCCACCTGTCCACCGTCATCCATGCCTTATCCGCGTGCCTCAGCAGTTGCAGTACGTGCTCCCCAGGAGAGTCCGGCGACTCCATCTCGGCCTTCAGCACGGCCAGATAAGCGGCTTCCTTGAGTAAGAACCTACAGCAAGGCATTGATACCATTTCAAGACCCCCTGCTCTAACGTTGGAATATATATTCGCTTTCCTCAGCTAAGCTCAGAATTTTCTTCACCAATGATAGAACTTAACGTACAAATTCGAATAGAAATGTACAGAAACCACTAGGAATTTCGTAAAATTTCCATATTGTCACCAACACATGTAGTTGACCACGTGTATACATTCTCACACTGCCCTACTCAGTGGCGCCAGTCTCCGCCTTCTCCCTAGTCTTCACCATCTTAGCGTCCATTTCCGCAACCTGGTTTGCCGACACCGATGTGAGCTCATCATTCCCCACCAATACCACCGATTTGAATGTGGCCTAATAAAACTTCCATCGCTCCGCCTCAACGACGGGACCAGTTTCCCTACAATGTAACCCTTCAGATCAGCCTCTTGACGCTGATGAAGCTGCTGCTCAGCTATCCTCGCTTCGAAGTGCTCCGACGTATCCTTATCACTCCGCATCAGCTGTCCCTCCGCCTGCTCAATCGAACTCTTGCGTGCCGCTAACGTGTCCAACTCCTCATCTGTGAATACACTCCTTAGGAACACCAACAGAGGCGCTCTCACTGATTTCCATAAGACGCTTCTCCAGCTTCTCCTTCTCCTCCTCCAACGTCTTCATCTGTCCTTCTATCTCCTCCCCATTCGGCCTCAACGCCTCCAATTGTTCATGAACCTACTACGATGGACGAGGTCCCAGGTTCAATCCCCGGATGGGGCATTTCCACACTCGTTACCTCCGTATGCATGTTCTCAACCTGCTCCTCCAGCTCAGCTATCTCAGTCGCCTGCGTATCCACATCCTTATCGATCTCCACCATCTTAGCCTCGCACTCCTCCACAACTTCCTACGAGCAACTTCGATTGATACCACACCTTTTGCAACTCCCAGCGGTACACATGTACCTTCATAGCAGCCTCTCGCTGAGCCAACGACTTGATCCTCCTCTCCTTAGCCAAACTGACTGTACGATGCAGCTGGCAGGTCAAAGTGGCGACTGCAGCAGACGGCACTTGAGGGCTAGTCGACGACACTGGGCTCTAATAAAACAACGGAGTGCCGCTACGCTCGAAGGCGAGCCATACATCAGCTTCCTTCTGCATGTCTGCCTTCAGCCTCCTCATCGTATTCAGCACCTTGTCATGGTAGTGATCATCCTAAAAGTAGCAGAAATGACTCGTCCTTGAGACTCCTTCCAAGTGATGCTACCTTCCAGTCCAGCTTCAATGCAGTGACCATCTTCTCGAGCCAGGCGACAAGCTCCTCATTCACCGGCAAATCCTCACCTACCACCGCACTCGGATAACCTGACGAATGCCTTGTCCCTTACTTGTCTGCATCACAGACTCCAAGAGCTGCTGCCAGACCGTTGCTTGCCCCCTCAGACACTGCCCCAGGAGTCTGTACATCTACACATGCATAAGGATCTACAACTTGACAAACCGGATTCTCCAGCCCTCCTCGCACTACCATAAATCTGAACATCTTCTCAATGGTGATGTCCTCCTCCTCTTCTGCCCCCTCCTCTACAGTGGCGCTACCAACGCTGGCCAGATCTCTCATCAATACCCTCAGACTAGCATCGCGAGCACACAGGCCGAGCAGCTTCTCCAAACACTTCGATCGGAGGAATACCTACCGTGTGGAATCTATCTCCCTATAAATGTCTAGCCAGTCACCTGTCTGAATGTAAGTGCGGTGATCTGATTCGGCGGGATACTCTGCAGTTGAGTTGGTGACACGCCCTCAGGAGTGTCGATAAACCTGTCACCCTCAGTGTCACCAGTCCAAGAGGCACAACAGGTCTACCTCTGCTTGGCATCGTTACCGAGAGCTATCTCCTCGTTCCACCGGTTGAGGCTTTCCACAAGCTGACAAGATTCGCAATATATCCTCCTCAAACGCCCTTCTAGTACTACTACTACTACTACTACCACCACTACTACTACTACTACTACTACTACTACCACTACTACTACCACTACTACTACTACTACTACTACTACTACTACTACTACTACCACTACTACTACTACTACTACCCCAGGCAGCCTTCTGACAGCACTGCCATGAGCTCCCAGCTCGTCTATGTATGCCTCTAACATCTCCGACACCTCCTGACAAGTTCTCAGACCTGTTGTGGATCCTACCGGGAGAGAACCTGTGATGAGAGATATCCTATAATCTCGTAATGGTCTCAACTGGAGAGGTCATAAGTGCACTATCACTAGAGTCGCTGCGAGTACGGCGCACGGCGCAAATACAATAATCCACTTGTACGATTCCTATAATGTGGGTAGACCAAATTATGGAATGATTTCTCTCGACACGAAAGCCCTCTACGAAACTCGAGTGAGGAATCTCCATGAGCTAATAATTAATACCATAACTCATCCATCTAATGACCCGAGGCCTACTACACCTGGAGAATTCACACGCTAGAGACTTCGGAGCCTAGAGGATCTCCAACTGACGACCACCGCTATCATTACCAGCCGCGCTGATGTCCTCCATGAGCTTGCTAGTAGCAGAAGCAATTTGCTGAGTGCCCTGTCTAACTTGACCTGATGACAATTCATACCACACCTTCCACAATTCTCCTCCTCGTACGTCCAACCAATTCTGACTGTTTCCGCACTTTACTCAATGTTGACTGCAGCCAGCTCATATTCTTGTTGGGTACAAATATTCAATTGAATGGATATAAAAAATCCTAAAGTCGCTCAGACAATGAATCCTCAAATTTCCCATGACCCCTTCCGTATGCCCGATTCACTATGTAAAGTGTTTGCCCTTTCTGGCGGCGTTTCAAGCTTCTCTATTGGCTCTACTACCTCACCCCATCTCTTCTCGCAAACCAGACAAACCTTCTCGTCAAAAGTCACGGCCGAAGCTGGTGGAGGAGATCAGTAACGTCGAATAACAATACCAGACACCAAGAAGGCCGCTAGCGCCAACCCCGAACTGCTTTCCCCAGCTGGAACTCAATTCTCCTCAACTGCGTAAACTCGTGATAGATTTCCTAGGAACGAATCGCCGTAAGGTGGCTGTTGAGAGCATGCATTGCTGCTATAGCTGAGGGGACTAGAAGACCCTTATGAAACAACATACGAATTAACATCAGCTGGTACAATGACTCGGGAGTAAAATAAGTAGTTCCCTTAGATGACTTCATCTCTCAAGCGTCACGAACTTCCAACCCGGCGATCTCGTTGGCTACGGGAGCCAGCAGAAATTTCTCTGTGAGGGGCCGTCGATCGAGGGAGGGGTGAACTCCCTGTTGGAGGATGATGGATACACAACAAGCATTGTGACAGAGGGCCCTACTGTTCTGTCCATCAGTGGCTTCAGGAGGCGAACATAGGAGACCCCCAACACTCCCACTCCGAATATCCCCACTCATCTCTGTCGATCTCCTGCAAGTCGCAGTCGAACTTATCAGCAAGCGAGGTTGCAAATTCTGGAAATAGGCGGAGCGAAGTTCGCACCTTGACCGACGCGGGTTGAAGTGCTTCCATACATGGCCCTGATACCACACTGAGCGCAAATCGTCTCCCACGACAGTCACCTGGAACCTATCCACAAACATAGCCGTGAAGAGTTCATTCTTGAGATTGATGAAAGCGAATCCGCGGTTGTTGCCCCTGCCGGACTTCACCAGCAGCTCGCTGAAATCCACAACCATCCCGAGTACAACACCGAGAGCCCTACAGAAAATCGTAGCAGTCTTCAAGGCCGGACTCCGACACGATCTCAGACACCAGCATGTGATAGTCATACCTAAACCGATCCATTAGAGCCTCTTCCCGTTCCCCTGGCTTAACAGTCGAGGAATGCCCCTGATGAGCAGTGTGGTGCGGTGTTCGCTGCCGTCCACTAAGTCGACCAAACGGATCTTACGGGCGTCTTCATCACCCATGCAACCATACGAGGTCCGCCGACCCGCCTCGCTCTCTAGCCTTGTCGAACCAACTCGCTCGCCGACTGAGGGCCGCAGCCGACGTTGGCGCTGGAAGACATGAGATATGACCCTACTCTCACTAGAAGACGCCCATAAATAGCTCGTAGTATCGTGCCAACGAGCAGGGTGGAGCAAACACCTACAGCTGTTCAGCGCCTCAGCATGGCCCCGTAAGCAGAGTGACTGACTTGGTGGCACCCGGAGACCCACCTCTAGCAGTAGGCATTGCAGTTGGAAATAGGGAGAATAGCTTCGCCATACGCTTTTGCGATCTTCTCGTTGGGAACCATTGTACGTGTATCGACACCAGCGAGTGGAGTCGTCACATCAGTGCGCTGACGAAACTTCGAGCAATGCAATTTCGACGGTTTGACTGGGTCTGGCATCTGATTAACGAGGTAGGGCTGTCAGCTTCCAATAAAGCAACTACCTCATTAAACATGTGACCTTCAGCAAGCAGCTCATCGAAAAGTCTGATAGGGATGGCCCCATTAGGGAAGCCGCTCTGATCGGGATTGAATTTTGAAGTCTACACAGGATCAGGACTCACCCCCATAGCAAAGTAGTCTGCCATGTCATCGGATAGACATTTCGATCCAGAGAGAGGCAAAAGCGCCCTCAACCAGTCAGCCACCACGATATTATCATCACAAGGTGACCAAGGAGACGTCTAAGTGACTGATGAGGACTGGATGGGCGGAATCATCAACTCACCACAGAGGTCATGTCGCTGACACAGCATAGATCGTCAAGTAGCATGGCCATAGAAATAGTCGCAGCTGAGAAAGGTATCCACCTCTAGCTTGAACAATACGAGCGGAGGCTGTCAGCAACGGTAACCGATAGCAATCCCACTGTCAGCAACTCCTCACAACTTATGGGCACTAATTACATAACCAAGTTGCGCCTAAAACTCGAGTAAAGGCCTGAGTACACCAAGAGCAGCCTAAGGCGATTCAAGTTAGCCATAACGCCACGTAAGCGAGCACTATGAGGTGCCTTGAGTTTAGGGATAGGCACGTTAAGTTCGTGAATGAAGATATTTTTTGGTTGCGTGGCGAGCTGCACGACTGCGCTCGCCCCTGATCCGGTGTAACACATTACACTTTAATTAGCGACACTAAACCGTTAGTCTTATGTAGAATGATATGTGTAGTATATGTTCTGTACACAGAATAGCCTCTTTTTTTGTCGTAAAGTGGCATGTCTGACGACATCCGACAATTGAGACGGTTCGTCTCAGACGAATTGGCGGGAACCAGCCAGACAAGGAGAAACTTTGGAGGCTTGATACCACTGTCACCTTCTATGTGAGCAGACTCGCATCAAACACATATCCATCCACCGTCAGGATTTCCTTTTCGCACAAATCATCGGCGATGTTGGACTACTACAAAATTTGTAGTACAAATTGACAATCCGTTATCCGCCGACACAGTCTGTCGGACTGTGTATACCGTGAAGAGTCTTCACTGAAGACCATCACATATTTTCCCACCAGATGTGTCCACTACCAGCCCAAATTTCGTGATTCAGACAGTACAACCGATAATTGAACCAAAGGTATAACGGGCTGTTTTGGTGGGAAGCGGACGGGAGATATGACTGATCTCCCCCATCCGCTTCTCATTGTCAGTGCGCCATTGATATCATAATATAACATTACCAGCGCATGTGTACGGCACGAGCCTATCATCGGTTTGCAACAACCTTGTAGAGTCCTCTGTTAAATTGTGAGGCTTGTGAGGCACTTTCACTCGTCGTAGTGAGCGCCGCACACCCACCGATGTCGATATAAGGGCAGTGCAGTATAACTATATTCATAAGGGAAACTACCACACAAACAACAGACTGTTGCGTGGACAGAAAAGTCCGCGTATCAACAGAACGGTGCGACCAGCAGCTGGCCCCATTGAGTTCTCCGCTTCCTTGCGAGAAAGTTTCCCCTCGCATCTGCTCCACTCCCACTAGGGGGACCCTCTCGCCTGATGGTTGTTGTTTTAACAGTTCCAGACTGGAACTTCCAGCGCTGAGCGCTTAGGCATTCGAAAAAGTAAACCTGGAATCAATAATAAATTAGGATTCGAGTCTCCCTGGGAGGTTGGCGCTGCCAACTCGAATCCAGATGCCGCCAGCTTGGCGGCATCCGCACTTCCTCGTGTAATACAAGGCGTGTCCATCGAGGTGATATATCAGTGCACTCGAAGGGAGCTCCATCCAATGTTGGAATATTCGATACATGAGCATTCCAAAGGCGTAATACCGAATCGATACTACCAATGGGATTCCCAACAGCGGGGAACGGATCATCGATGATCAGACTACTCCGTACCGTGAGCTTCTCATCTTCGCGGAAGGATGAGAGGAAGTTTTTCTGAGAAACGTCACCTCTCAGACAACCATCAGCCCCGTGGAGCGACCCCCGCTTACTCACATCCGTATAATATACTCTCCCGCTGACTTTCATGTCACTGATAATATGCGTGAGTCACGCGTTGTGAATACTGGGTCTTCGGTGCGAAGGGGTGAAGCTCGCTAAAATTCGCTAAAAAAGCGCGCGGGACAAATTTGTCTTTTCGCGGAACAAACTCCTGCGCGTTCAAGATTTAGGTTGAATTCATATCCTCAAGGGAACACGTTCACGAGGTGCGCTTTCTCGCTCGGCCTGGTTTTTCATTCTGAAGAAATTACTGAAAAGTCAAAGACTCTATGGCGCATCCTCTCTCGAATATGGTCACTACTTCAAGTTCCCGGCTCACTGTGAACCGTTCACATGGGTAACATCTTGAATCTGGATAGTAGTTCGGGTTTTGGCCGTCGGGTTTTGGATGGGGTTTCGGGTTTCCCTTTCTCCGCTCCTACGGTAGGCGCGGTAGGAGTCCTACCTGTAGTTCCTTCTTTCTTGGGGGAGGGGCATTACAATCATAATGGCTGAGCCATTAATAATGGCCCATTATTCGGATAACAGTCCGAAACCCGAGCTCTGGGGAATGAATCAGAGCTCAAAATAGTCTGTAGATTGGAGTCCGATCATTGGACCGACGAATCGCCGACCAGGAACGACGTTTCCGGAACCTGAGTGTCCGAAGCTGAAGTTCCCAGGTTTGTGTCCGACTGAAAAGACTTTGGGTCCTGAAAAAGAATTTGAGCAAGAGAACGTTGTACTGTTCCTCTTCAAAGTCGCTCTACTTGTATCAGAATTTGTGCTTACGCACGCACGGACGAACGCATACGAACAACCACGAACTGCAATATAAGCTCCGTTCGCTTCGCTCACTCTGCGATTTCAGAGATTGATTGATCAATAACTTAGCCCATCTGGAACCGCTCGTATCATAATTGCACCGATGATGAAGTCGACGACTCGCCAGAGTCGGATTGGAAAAGTTCATAGCAAAATGTATATCATTACGGATTCAACGAGCAGTGCTCGTCGAGCACTATGACCTGGAGGAGTCTCCAGTGTTCTTCCACAGGAAGGATGTTAGGAGGGATGAATGTGTCTCCAACTGAACATAAAGCTAATGCCGATACCCAGAAGGTATTAGCTATCACGTGCACACTCGCGAGTAACGAAGAGGAGACATCTCGGACCGCATGTACAAACATGTCGTATCTTGCTCACTTATGATGCCTTGTGATTTCCAAATCCGATGAGCAATCGCTCCAAACCTCTCAATTGCTGCATTCTCAATTCTCTCCCTATATCATGGGGTATTGTTTTACAGTCAGGTGTTGGACAATAGGGAACTCCCCGACGCGTGAGCTGCTCAGTCAACCTTCCTCTCAATTCCGCTGGCCGCACAACGATGTGTTTGTGACCACTTTAGAAATCCCAAACTCGTGCTTGCGACACTGCCCACACTTACATCTCATGCTACAGCCCCTCCACAATGCAACAAAGTGTCGGTCTTCGTGCAGTTTCTCTTTTTATCACCAGAAAATGCTGTCGCGCTCGTCCACTTGCATGGGAGTCGCCAAGGAGGTCCTCCACGGCGCTGAGGCTCGCTCGCGCATGCTCGTCGGTGTCAACCGCATTGCCGATGCTGTGGCCGTCACCATGGGCCCAAAGGGTCGCAACGTGGTCATCGAGCAGAGCTTCGGGTCCCCTAAGGTCACTAAGGATGGTGTTACTGTCGCCAAGGCCATCGACCTCCCCGACAAGATGCAGAACGTCGGTGCCGCCCTCATCAAACAGGTGGCTTCCAAGACTAACGACATTGCCGGTGATGGCACTACCACCAGCACAGTGCTTGCTCGCGCCATCTACCGTGAGGGTTGCAAGGCTGTTGCTGCTGGCATGAACCCTATGGACTTGAAGAGAGGCATTGACGCCGCAGTGAAGGTGGTCATGGATGAGCTCAAGGCCCGCGCTCAGCCGATCTCAACCGCCCAGGAAATCCAACAGGTACGTCCTTGTTAGTAAGTGTTCATCCATTCCCCACATCCAGGTGGCGACGATTGCCGCGAATGGTGATAAGACTATCGGCAGTCTCATCGCTGAGGCCTTCGAGAAGGTCGGCAAGGACGGCACCATCACCGTGTCTGACGGCAAAACCATGGAGCATCAGCTCGAGGTAAGGTGTCGGTCGAATCGTAGAGGCATAGAAGTCTGCTCAGGTTGTGGAAGGCATGCAATTCAACCGTGGTTACATCTCTCCCTACTTTATCACCAATAACAAGACACAATCGGTCGAGTTCGAGAATCCTCTTATTCTGGTGCACGAGAAGAAGATCAGCTCCATTCAGGTAGGACATATGTACCGTGATGTTGATGATATCAGATTGTTAGTCCATTCTTCCTGTGCTCGAGTACGTCGTGAAACTGCAGCGTCCTCTCCTCATCATTGCTGAGGATGTCGATGGCGAGGCCTTGGCTACTCTCGTTGTCAACAAGCTCCGTGGCGGTCTCAAGGTCTGCGCTGTAAGTCTCGCCCCGATCCGTCAGAATAGGTTCCGGAGGCTGGCTGTGTTTTAGGTCAAGGCCCCCGGTTTCGGCGACAATCGCAAGTCGCAGATGCAGGACATCGCAACTGTCTGCGGCTGTGAGGTTGTCAGTGAGGATACTGGTACCAAGCTCAGCGACGACTTCGACCCGTAAGCTGGACAGCTCCATATCGACGTCCCGTCATTTCGTTTATACTCAGTGCATTGCTCGGCTCATGCAAGTCTGTGTCGGTGAAGAAGGACGATACCATCATCCTTGATGGAGCAGGCTCTCGAGAGGAAGTCGATGACCGTTGCGAGACTCTCCGTGATGCGATTGAGAACACCAGTAGTGAATACGAGAAGGATAAGCTGAAGGAGCGTCTTGCCAAAATGAGTGGCGGTGTTGCTGTGATTAAGGTGAGCGAAGATTCCCATGCCGTCGTAGTTATCGAGAGCGTGGTAGGTTGGCGGTTCCTCCGAGGTGGAAGTTTCGGAAGTTAAGGATCGTCTCAATGACGCCCTTAACGCCACTAAGGCCGCTGTTGAGGAGGGTATCGTCCCCGGTGGTGGAGCTGCTCTCTTGAGGTGACCTATTGGGAAGGAAAGTCTAATCGGCTGTGAATCTCGCTTCTCATCAGAGCCAGCAAGAAGTTGGACGATATGAAGTTGGACAACTTCGACCAGGAGGTCGGCTGCAACATCATCCGCTCTGCGTGTAAGCAGCCGTGCAAGACCATTGTGGAGAACGCTGGTGAGGAGGGTGCCGTCGTGGTGCAGAAGCTCCTCAGTGATGACCACTACCATAAGTAAGTTTTTCTCGACGCACTGGGTCAGTTGACAAGCTTCGTGGCAGGGGATATAATGCACAGACTTCTGAATACGTTGACATGCTACAACAGGGTATTGTTGACCCCACGAAGGTGGTCCGAACTGCCCTGGCTGATGCTGCTAGTATTGCCAGTTTGATGACTACTACTGAGACGGTCATCTGTGATGTAGGAATTCTCTGCACGACAGTGTGATGATATTTTGCGTCCTCGTGCTTAGCTTCCCGAGAAGGAGAAGTCTTCTTCCGCTCCCGACATGAGCGGCATGGGCGGCATGGGTGGCATGGGCGGTATGATGTAACGCACATGTGCGTGGAATCATTGCTGCAAACGGACTTTAGAGTGCATCGGAATATTTGAGGAGCCTGAGTCATAGTAGAGTGTTTCCGATCCTTATTAGCTGAAGCTTCAGCACGAGATATAGACCATCGTTTCTATGATGACTTCGAGTTGAGTACAGTTGTCGAGTACATAAGGCTTTTCGCTTCCTCGAACGATGAAGTTGCGATCTCCTTAGCCATGCTATTCGTTGAAAGCATTCAATTCACTTGTTGCTTGCATGAAGTGCGCTTCTCCAGTGCCATGCGTTGGCGCTTGTGGGTAGATGAAAGGTTGATATGGAACGCCTCCATGGTGTTGATGATGGGTGTCGCTTGAGCGTTTCTCACTTCGAACAAATTGATTGAACGCTCAACTAAGGCAAATGCGGATCTAGTATGCCTTCAATGCGATAGTACGGAGACTTGCCGTCTTCTATGTATCCTCTCGAGTGAAGCGTCCACCAAGAATGAAAAATTCCGGCGGTATTATTTTAGTACATATGTATTCCCATCGAAAGATATATCGTAGATTTTCTATTTCATGCAAATGCTCAACGACGCCATTCGTGTTTTAGCAACGTCTTTGCCAGTGAATACCTGTCTCTTGCGAAACAATTCGTAATGCACCCGCGATTACGGCGTAAACTGATAAGCTCCAGCGGATAATGATTAACCGTGATGAGAGCGCGCTCTTTTGATTCAATCTCCGTTTATGTGAATACCATGGAAGAGATGCGGCGTTCCCGAACATGTTACCCAATTTATGACAGAACTACTCTGAGTAGGCTGAGTAACTCAAGTTTCTATTCATGAAAGAAAAAAACCATCATTAATTCAATCTACCGAGACAATTCGGAGCGCCGCATTTACATGCGAGCTTCTCGGACTCAACAGCGAATTGATAATCATAGGTGATTTCCTCCCCGGCGCTGATGTCATTCTTGGCAACTATCATAATGTGCTTCTTATGAGAGGCCCGAACGACTCCTCTGAAGGAGATGTCATCCTCACTGGCCAAGGGGACGGGGTCCTCCACAACCTAGGAGGCAGGCTAGCACTCTTCCCAATGCACGACGTACCTTGCAAACGCAATTCGGGTTACACGAGTGGTTGATGAACCGGGCAGTGTTCCCCCTGAGGGTGGCATCCACAACATAGTGCTCGTCTAAGCGGAACATGTAGCAGCACTGGCCCATGAGCATCTCCTCTTCATAGTAACGTTCTCGACAGTCGGCGACAGAGTGCCTGACTTGGGGGATCATCGAAGACCTCCAACGCTATAGAAAAAATTCACCAGCAGAGTTTGACCGTCTTGGCCAAACACGATCAATCGTGGAACGATCAGAACAACTTCATCAACGTGAAGACCTCACGTGAAGACCTTGAAGAGCTCACCTGACGATTTCACCTGCGTATTCCACGACCATGTCGCCCTTAGCGAATCGCACTTTGGCAAACAACCCATAGTTGTGAATCCTCGACCGTTTCACTTCCAGCACTTCATTGTCGTCCGTCTGGGCTCTAATACGGTACAGCGCCGTCAGAGTCGGTGAAGATGAGGAGCCTTCCGGCCAGTGCATCCTCGTCCGTGCGGACTTTATCATTTGGTTGTACTCCCCTGTGGTTTGGCTGTTGCTGCCCGTCGAGCTCTCTACAGGGCAGTTGGAAGGGTCCAGAAGGAACTTATAGTGGGCACTCCGTTGCCCAATGAGGAGTGGTGATATTCCGCGTTCCTGTACGCGAACGACGCCAAGCTCCCGCATGTCCGGCTGGACCGGCTGCTCCCAGGAGGACTTCAACTTGAGACTCTCCACTGGCCCACATGAATCATTGCCAGGTCCGAGCAGCCCCGTCAGGAGTTGCGCCCGCGCCCCCGGATGGTCCATCCATAAGGATGCCTGGCGGGAACGAAATTGTTCTTATATCCCACCACTAAGACGCCCACCTCTTGCATGATCTTCCGTCTCGCGAACGCCTTTCGGACCTCGCGCAGATGGGCCACAACGACCGGCGACATCAGACCGAAGAACCATTGCGGTGTGAAGTCCCTCAAAACTTGCTGACGTCTCTCGGTGGAAAACTGCTCCACTAGCTGCCGCCAGGCATCCTCTATTGAGTCCGCCACGGCTATCACTCCTGGTAGCAATTATGGATAACTACGGAGTCCATGATGACTCACCTCCGGTCGCTACCCGAATAGTCACAACACGATCATCGTCATCGTCGTAGTCGATGGTGCACACATAAGCAGATCGCCTCCGCGTGGGTTCCACCGACCAAAAGAGCCTGTACCCACCAAGATGAAGTGGCGAAGGAGCGGTATAGCCCACCGAATAACTATAAAACCGTTGGGCTGCTCCAGCTGATGCTTACTGTCTATGGTGCCCATCCGGATCACGCTGAGCCCTCCTGACCGAACCTGATACACCACATGCGGACCACCAGCGACTCCTGAGCAGCTACCGCTGAGTTCGCCGACACCGGCACCCCGTCATCAATACGGAACCTAGGGACTTGGAAGGGATGCAGCAGCCCTACAGTGGCGAGGGTGCACGCGGGTGGCGACAGGCTCGGCAACACTCTTTGTACGTGCGGTGGTGGTCTGATAGGGGAATTTGAGCTACTCGTTGCCAGGTAGGGAGTGCTCACCCCAAGGCGATCGCCGCGCACTCATCATTGAAGACCTTCTCTTGGTCCGGTGTGAGGATGGGAATCAAAGACACTGCGCAGCGGTGCAATTGCGACAACAACTCGGTGG